TTCACAAAATTTATGCTCTTATTGCAAAAAGTGTTAAAGTAATAACATGGTTTTGTGGATGGGAATTATTAGTGCCTGTTGAATGAGAGATACCTGAAGTGGTAAGTGGGTAAGTGGTAATGGGAGAGATACCTGAAGTGTGTAAGAGACCACAGTTAAAGAGTGTCAAAAACAATTTGCCTAGAAATTAGTTAAGAGAAAGTAACATGAAAATTAAGGGCAAGATCAGATTGGTCTCTGTATTCACCACCGAGAAGATCAAATACACCTGCTGTGGGTTGCAACCTCACAGGCATGGGAGGTGGGAGTATAAGCCATACTGGGCCTCTGTTATTCCTGTTTCTGGCACTCATTTGTTGTCTTTTCCCTTTTGGGACACCAGCAAGACTGTGTCACAAATGCTACAGAAAGCATCACATGGAAAGACACCAAAGTTCCTCTTTTATTACACACACCCATGTCAACAGCCACTGTTATAACCCATCCAAATTAAGAACTTGTAGGCAAAATGGAGTAAATTATTGGATTACAAGAAACTTAAGAAAAAGTGGTTATAGATTTAGAACTGAATGTCCAAAAGAAGAGAGATGGATTTGTTTTAAATTAATCTTGAAGATACGGTTCAAGATTTCGTAAAAAAACAAATAATAAACAAAAAGGTTAAACCAGCACAGCAACCTAACTCTGTATTGACTCCAAATTATCTGTTGAATCGTATTACAAGACTCTAAGCGGTTATACAAATGATAGCAAATAAGGCTGCCCAGGCATTAGAGTTATTATTAAGTCAGCTAAGCCAAACAAAAACTGTAGGGTATTAGAATAAGTTGGTTTTAGACTATTTATTGGCCAAAGAAGGGGGTGTTTGTGGAAAGTTCAATATATCAGATTGTTGAAAATTGATGACCACAGAAAAGTCATTCTAGCAAAAGCAAAAGAAGTCAAAGAATAAAAAAATTATATATGCATATAATAACCCAGGTACCAGTCCAAAAATTAGAAAACAATGTTAAAATCTAGCTGGTGGGGTAATGTATTAGAAGAAATTAAGATCTTTCATTTTGTGTTACAACTGTTTTTATATTTCTTCCTTGTGTAATCCGCTGTTTTATTTTGCCAGCATAGTCCAGAAGATGCAAATAGATAAGAAATATTGCTCAAGCCAAATGATTTACAAAGAATAAGAGTGGGGATTGTGAAAAATGCATGTATTTTATGATTGGCTTTTCGCAAATATTAAAATGAATATTATATGTGTTGTGTTAGAAAGCAATGCTGTATTATTTTCTTAAGTACTGTGTTAAATATAGTTTTAGGTTACAAAAATTGTTAAAATAGGAACTAAGCTATGTAAGATGCTTTGTTTAAAAGAAGGGACTCGCAGCGAGATAGCAGCCACAGGAGACACCTAGATCTTGCAGAGAAAAAGAATTTATTGCCTTCTTATCAGAAGAAACAAACTTCTTCCCACCTCGAAGGCGCTATTAGGATTAGAGGGAAAAAGTTGATGAAGACCAGATAGAATCCTGTGTTTGAATGGAATTTATGCATCATGTATGAAGTGTATGAATATGCAATGGGCTATTTTTTTAAGGGTTAATCCTTTGTTAATGGGTGTCCTTTTTCGGTCTCGTGATGCCCAGAAAAAGGTACCCAGACGTCTGTAACTCTTTGTTTTTATTGTCTCATATTGTCTTAATTCAATTTCTCCAAATTGTTATTACTCTAATTGTGTTACTATTCTTTTTAACCATTTTATTACTATTAAACTTTTAAAAAATTTTAAAAACAAGTGATTGGCATTTTTCAAACTTGCTGTAGTTTAATACAATTCTAAAATTCTAAGTGAAGTGTCATTTCTCACAGGAAAGAAAAAGACCACTTAATTTTTAGGGGAAAATGAAAAAAATCAAGATCAATAACACAGAGGCTGTGGATCTCTGAGCAAGCCGAAGTTGTAAAACCACCATGACCCAGGGACTGAGACTTACAGAACAGCAGCAGGTCATGGCACGGAGAGGAGCCGGCTGAATGGGGAGCTCCTGGTGACCTGGGCACTTTCTCCTTCATGTCCCTGACTTGGCAGGAGCCGCTTTAGGACATGGATCCCAAAGGAGCAAGAGGGACCAGGAAGCGCCGCTGATCTGCACAGAGCCCTTTGCCTGCTGCTGCCCCACAGGGAACAGGTCAGTGGAATGTTTGCCTTCCTCCCTACCCCACCTTCCTCTCCTGCAGCAGCTGCTCTGTTCCTGCCACCCTCTCCCGGTGACTGCAGTGCCCTCCCAGGTGCCCCCTCCTCTGCCCTGTGCCTGAACAGCCCAACCCGCCCACCTCCCTCTCCCACCCCACAATTTCCACTGCCCTCCTCCCCTGCACATCTCTCTCCTCCCCACTGAATCTTTCCCACTGCAGGGAGCTGCTCAGGAGCCACATGGTCCATCCCTGGATTCTCCAAGCACTGACTGCCCATCCACTCTGACCACAGCCAGGGGCCACATTCCACTGCCTGCCCAGCGTCCATCCATGGAGGTGACCACCGTGTCCCCATCTCCTGCCTCACCCATTGAAGTAGATGATGTGTGTGAGACGGATGTCACAAGCGTGGCCATACACAGTGTGACACTGCTCATCTGCCTCTGTGGGCTGGCTGGAAATGGGGCTGTCGTCGGCCTCCTCAGCCTGGAAAACTATAACTCTGGCATCTTTAAGCTGCCTGTTGCTGACTTCCTCTTCCTTCTCCTCACAGTCCCCACTGCCCTCCTCTTCCTTGTAGAGGACATGTCCTGCTCTATCATCCTGCCCCTTCTGTACCTCAATTTCCTTTTCCATATGTCAGTGGTCTCCTACTCCTGGGGGCTGTTCCGGCTGATCCGCAGTAGCCCTGTGCTCTTTGTGTGCAAGCTCTGCTGCTGCAGGGACCTTCCTGAGCTCCTGCAGTTGTTGGTGTTCCGTGTCCAATACTGGGCCTTCTTTGCTCTCTTCACTGTCATTCCTGCAGTGACATTGCTATGCCCGTCACACGAGCAGGAGCACTGCAGGGCAACTCTCATCTCCATGTACACCCTCATCCTGCTTCTCTTTGTTGCACCCCTGCTCATTTTTGGCACAACCAACTTCATTAAGGCCAAGTGGGGCTCCCAGCAGCAGCAACCCAAGAGACGCAACATTGTTATCTTCATCATTGCCCTCTTCACTCTCGTCCTCAGTCTCTGCCATTTCCTGCAGCAGCTCAGTTACGTCACTGTGTCCTCCCACATTTTTTCCTGCTCACCTGCATCCACAGCAGCATCAAACTCTTCATCCACTTCTTGGTTGGCAGCTGTAGGACACAGTGCTCCATGCCAATCTCCTGGACGGACTTTACTGTGCAGTCCCTCAGGGACTCTCTCCAGAGAGTCTTTAGCGAGCAGAAAGAACAAACTGCCTGCGGAAATTATGTCCATACCGACAGAGGAGCTCTAAGCCTGTCCATCCCTTCCACTGCTCTGCTGAGTGACCCTAGAACAGTGACTGAGGGATTCCTTGAGTCACCTGATGAATAAATATCTACAGGATCACCCACCCGGGTTTTGTGTATTCCTGCAGGAGAAGGGAGCAGGAGCATTGCCTCGGGTGATTTTTGTGGGATGCTCTGCAGGGAGCACATTGCAGCATGGCTGTCCTCCTCTCTCCTGGATCCACATGGCTCCAAGCAGTGCAGCTGGGCTCAGTGCTGTTCCCCAGCTCTATTCCCCATGCAATGACCCTCATGGCCTCAGCCCCAGGGAATGAACTCCATCTCCTTTGGTTCAGCAGATGAGTTCCATGGTGTTTCCAGGGAGCTCTTGCCTGCAAAGCATGGGACACCTTAATCCCTGGGGACACACCCAGCACGGGGTGGCAGTGATTTCCCAAATCCCTGCAGGGCTGGTGCCTCTGGATGGCAGGAGAGGGGTTGGGATCAGATGGAGCATCCTTCTCCTTCTGCCTTTTTTTTCTAATTTTTTTAAGCTTTGGAGGTTTTCTAATACAAGTAGTGTATTCATGTTGAGAGTTGTAATGCTGATCTCTGACCATCGTGGGCAGTCCAAGCCCAAAGCGCTGCACAAGCTCCAGGAAGGTGGGACAGAGGAGGAGCTGTGTTGGAAAAGCGGAATGTGTCTGAATGTGGGGGTTGGATTACAAAGTGTTTACAAAGCCTGTTAGTGTTTTGGGCAGTGTGCCTCTAGGTGCAAGTGCGCACCGCGCACTCTTCCTTTTACCTTATTTACAGCAACATTATACCTTACATGTCCTTTGCTGTAGTTCAATAAACTTCTAAAAATTTTAAGTGAGGCCTTGTTTCTGACAACAAGGAAAAAGACCACTTGATGTGTAGGAAAAACAAAAAAATCAAGATCAATAACTCAGAGGCTGTGGATCTCTGAGCAAGCCGAAGTTGTAAAACCACTGTGACTAAGACACCAAGCCTTATTAAACAACAGCAGGTCATGGCACAGAGAGGAGCCAGCTGAATGGGGAGCTCCTGGTGACCTGGGCACTTTCTCCTTCATGTCCCTGACCTGGCAGGAGCCGCTTTAGGACATGGATCCCAAAGGAGCAAGAGGCACCAGGAAGCGCCGCTGATCTGCACAGAGCCCTTTGCCTGCTGCTGCCCCACAGGGAACAGGTCAGTGGAATGTTTGCCTTCCTCCCTGCCCCACCTTCCTCTCCTGCAGCAGCTGCTCTGTTCCTGACACCCTCTCCAGTGACCGCAGGGCCCTCCCCAGGTCATCCATCCTCTGCATTTCCCTTCCACATCCCCTGCAGAACAACCCAACCCGCCCACCTCCCTCTCCCATCCCACCATTCCCACTGCCCTCCTTCCCTGCACATTTCACTTCTCCCCATGGAATCCTTCCCACTGCCAGGGAGCTGCTGAGGAGCCACATGGTCCATCCCTGGATTCTCTAAGCACCGACTGCCCATCCACTCTGACCACAGCCAGGGGCCACATCCCACTGCCTGCCCAGCGTCCATCCATGGAGGTGACCACCATGTCCCCATCTCCTGCCTCACCCATTGAAGTAGATGATGTGTGTGAGACAGATGTCAGCAGCGTGTCCATACACAGTGTGACACTGCTCATCTGCCTCTGTGGGCTGGCTGGGAACGGGGCTGTCATCGGCCTCCTCAACCTGAAAAAAAGCAGGAACGCTGGCATCTTTGACCTGGCTGTCATGGACTTCCTCTTTCTCCTCTTTGCGGTCCCCTCTGCCCTCCTGATCCTGGTGGAGGACGTGTCCTGCTCTCTTATGATGCCTTTCATGTATGTGAATTTCCTTTTCCAGCTGTCAGTGGTCTCCCACTGCTGGGCACTGCTCTGGCTGATGCGCAGCAACAAGGTGCTGTACATGGGAGAGATCTGGAAGCTCTGCTGCCGCCACGATCTTCCCAAGCACCTGCTGTGGCTGCTGGACACTGTCCAATACTGGACCTTCTTTGCTCTCTTCACTGTCATTCCCTCGGTGACATTCCTGTGCCCATCACACCAGCAGGAGCACTGCCGAGCTGCTTTCATCTCCATGTACACCCTCATCCTGCTCTTCTTGGCTGTACCCTTGGTCATTTCCAGCACAATTGATTTAATTAATGCCAAGCAGGGCTCCCCGCAGCAGAAGCCCAAGAGGCATGACATCGTTATTGTCATCACTGTGCTGTTCACTCTCCTCCTCAGCATGTGGAATTTCCTGCAGCAGCTCGGTTACATGGATGTGCCCTCAGAGGTTGTTTTCCTGCTCGCCTGCATCCACAGCAGCATCAAACCCTTTATCGACTTCTTGATAGGGAGGTGCAGGAGACCCTGCTCTGTGCAGTCCCTCCAGCTCTCCTTCCAGAGGGTCTTTGAGGAGGCAGAAGAAAACACTGCCCACAGCCGTGATCCTGCCATGGACACAGGGGTCTCAGCCTGATCCCTTCACTTCCTCTGCTGAATGAACCCAGGAGGGTAGCTGAAGGTTTCCTGGAGCCTCCCGATTAATCAATATCCGCCAGATCACCCACCCTGGTGGTGGTGTATTCCTGCAGGAGAAGACAGCAGGGGCATTGGCTTGGGTGATTTTTGTGGGATGCTCTGCAGGGAGCACATTGCAGCATGGCTTTCCTCCTCCCTCCTGGATCCACATGGCTCCAAGCAGTGCAGCTGGGCTCAGTGCTGTTCCCCAGCTCTATTCCCCATGCAATGACCCTCATGGCCTCGGCCCCAGGGAATGAACTCCATCTCCTTTGGCTCAGCAGATGAGTTCCATGGTGTTTTCAGGGAGCTCTTGCTGGCAAAGAATGGGACACCTTAATCCCTGGAGACACACCCAGCATGGAGTGGTGGTGATTTCCCAAATCCCTGCATGGCTGGTGCCTCTGGATGGCAGGAGAGGGGTTGGGATCACAGGGAGCATCCTTCCCCTTCTGTCCAGCAGAGCCAGCCCTGCATTCCCAGCTGATGGGAAGGGACACCAGGTAGGGCTGCAGAGCTGGGGAGGGACAGCAACATTCCCTTATCCTTCCAGTGGGAATGTCTCACATTCTTCAATTCCAGAATTGAATCCTTCTGAGGAAAGTGCAGGATTGATGGTGAACTCCACTGAACTCCTGTGCCTGTGTCCATAAAGTACGTGGAATATGGAAATTCCCATCACCAGATGCTTGGACCATTGAATTGCACAGAAATTAGGGGGTTATGCTGCTCTTCTGCAGAATGGGGCCATCCATCCTCTGGTTCCCCAGCATCAGTGTCCAGGGAAGCCCTTGAGCACCTCCATCCTGAACCTGGCCACCCTCAGGAGGAGCTGCACAGCCACTCTGCACAGCAGCTCCAGCCACAGCCCAGCCTCTCCTGATCTTTGTCATTCTGTAACCACCTCTCAATCAGATTTGCATTCAAGGTTTCTGTTTCTTTCCACTCTGGTAGTCCCACCCTCTGAATTTGTTGAATAAACAACATCCAGGCTTCACTGCAGGGCCTGTCCCTGTTAAACAGTGTCCAAAATGGCTCAATTCCTTCTTTTATCCCATTCTAAAGCCTCTGGCTGGTCTGGGAGGAGGGCAGATCCCTGTCTCATACCAGAGCCCTTCCTAAGGCACGTGCCTGCAATGGTTGGGATGATGTTGGCAGTGCCAAGAGCTCCTGATTCCTCCTGGCACAGACCTGGGCAGCAGCCACATCTCTTGCTCAGGGGGAAGTTGTCCCTCCTTTTCCCACTGCCTTAAATCCAGGGGAAACCAACGTGCCACTGCTTCTGGAAAGGGAAGTGAGTGTGAAAGCCGTGTGTGGTGAGTCAGACTTTGGACATACACATGAGGTTAAACAGCTTAGGACCATTTATGCACAGAGTTGTTAATAACTAACAGTAAAGAGAGAGTTTGACATCTGAGAGGGTTTTTCTCTCCCTGTCTCCCATTATCCTGTCCATTGGAAAGCAGAAAGTTTCCATGGTTCAACCTCTTGTCCATGGAAGAACAACTCAGCCAGGGGATTTCTCCCAAAGCAAGTTCAGGAGGATCATGATCCTCCAATGTACTTTTTCTACTTCCCAGTACCTTCCTTGTCTCCTGTGTCACCCAGGCCACTCCATCTCTGATCTTCCTTTCCAGGGCAATGATTTCAAAGCAAAAGTTTTCATGGGTGTCAGCAACCTACAGTGAATTCCAAGATGATTCCTATCAAGGCTGACATGTGCCTCAGGGATCTGGGATGCTCCTGCTGGAAACTGCCGTGTGTGTGTGATGGCCCTGGGACCAGAACTGTCACCTCTCTTACTGCTGACACCGTGTTTGTGGCCCCAGCTATGGAATCTCACATCCCCTCAACAGCCCAGTCCTTTCAAGGGCAAACACTTCATGATCCAGCAGCTGATGGGGCTCCAGGAGAGTTGGAGAGGGACTTTGGACAAGGGCATGGAGTGACAGGACAAGGGAGAATGGCTTCCCACTGACAGAGGGTGGGGTCAGATTGGATATTGGGAAGTAATCCTTTTCTGTGAGGGTGCGGAGGCCCTGCCATACATTGCCCAGAGAGGCTGTGGCTGCCCCTGGATCCCTGTAAGTGTCCAAAGCCAGACTGACATGGGTTTGGAGCAACGTGGGATAGTGGAAGGTGTCCCTGCTTGCAAAGGGACAGTCTGGGATCAGACAACCACAAAAACAACCCCAAGTGTTCCCAGGACTGAGGAGGAGCAGGAGCAGCTCTGGTGAAGGGCTGGCAGGGGGTTCCCAGCACCCTGGTCCCTGATAGCTTTCACTGTGTAATCATGGGGATTGGCAGTGATCAGGGTGGGCTCCAAGTGCTGATAGCCTGGCTGCAAGCAACTGAGTGCTGTCCTTCCCTTGGGCTGTGTGAGCCTGCATTGGAATGACAGGAATGGGAATCCATGGCCCAGGGATGATCCCATGAGTCCAGGGGAGGCTTTGGCAGTGGTTCTGGAGCTCTTCCCAGAATGGGAGCAGTTTCTGACAAGCAGCCAGATGCTTCACCAGCACTGCCAGCACTGCCAGCAGCATTCCAGTGCCACCAGCACCACCAGCATCCCTCTGCTGCTGGAGGTACAATGACTCCTCAGGGAAGAGAAAGGAGGTATAGCAGAAATCTGTCTGGTCAGGGAAGGAAGTTAAAGAATGGGACACTCTACAGGGAAGGAGTGTTTCTAATTAGGGGAAAATGAGGACACATTCAAAATGTTATGAACAGGTGCTATGGTGATTGACTCTCGCAAATGTTGAATGAATATTATGTGTGTTATAATGTTCAAAGAAGCTCTGTTAAGATTTGGAGTTTTTCTAACGTGAGTGCTGTGTTCATGTTGAGAGTTGTAATGCTGATCTCTGACCATTGTGGGGAGCCGAAGTCCGAAGCGCTGCACAAGCTCAGGGAAGGCGGGACGGAGGAGGAGATTTGTTGGAAAAGCGGAATGTGTCTGAATGCCGGGGTTGGATTACCGAGAGTCTGCAAAGCCTGTTTCTGTTGCAGGCAGTGTGCCTCTGGCCGTGCCTCTGTCTGCGACTGAGCACCGAGCGTTTTTACTTTTACCTTATTTTGTCCCTTGCTGTAGTTTAATAAATTTTTTAAATTTTAAGAACGGACGCGTTGTTTCTCACAACAAAGAAAACAAATCACTTGATTTTTACGGGGAAAAAGTCAAGATCAGTTACTCCGGGGGTGTGGAAATCTAACGGAGACAAATTTGTAAAATCATTTCCAAGTCCTCTGTGACTGCACCAAGCTCTGGGAAACAGTACCAGAATTGGGAACAGAGAGGAGCCAGCAGGACGGCAATGGGGAGCTCCTGGTGACCTGGGCACTTTCTCCTTCATGTCCCTGACCTGGCAGGAGCCGCTTTAGGACATGGATCCCAAAGGAGCAAGAGGGACCAGGAAGCGCCGCTGATCTGCACAGAGCCCTTTGCCTGCTGCTGCCCCACAGGGAACAGGTCAGTGGAATGTTTGCCTTCCTCCCTACCCCACCTTCCTCTCCTGCAGCAGCTGCTCTGTTCCTGACACCCTCTCCAGGTGACCGCAGGGCCCTCCCCAGCTCCCTCCTCCTCTGCCCTATCTTGACGTCAAAATAGGCTGAAATAAACATTCTAACACAATGGGAAGCATTAAGAAGCAGGAATTCTCTACCTGCACAGGACACAATGAAGGATCTCTATTTGATCTGTGTGTGTAGTGAGACTTTACAACAGGGGTTTTGTGCAATATAACCACACATAATCATTAATGGGTGTTTCTTATCTAATACACAAACATCTCTTTCTTTAAACTAATTTTCATGTGTTCTCCTCCTATTGGAAGTCCTTTCCTCATCCTCGAGGATCATTCACAGGGGTCTCTGGTGTTTGTATTCACTGAATGCTGAGATATTAAAGGTGACCTTGTCTTGAACTTTTCCTTTGGCCATGTAGTGTTGCTTCTTATTACAGAACTTTCCCTCAAATCACTGCAGGCCTCCAAATCTGTTTCTGCACTGGCTCCAGATATATTTGTCATCGGAGCTGGGCTTTCCTCCTCCCTCCTGGGTCCTAGAACCCTGTGGCCTGCAGGAGCAGGGACACTGTCAAGGTCCCAGTAGGAGTGGAGCTGTCAAGAGAAAAAACTCAGCTCTGGGTGGGTTCTGGGGTGTCAGAGATGGCTAGAGGGGTCAGGAGAGGGTCAGAGGGGGTTGGAGGGGGTCTGGATGCTGGCAAAGCCAGAGGAGAGCAGAGCCTGACAGGCCACGCTCAGAGTGGGGGAGCGGCTCCATCTGGGAAAGCTGTGGGATGTGATAGGATGGGGTGAGGATGGAGAGTGGGGTGGGAATGGGGTGAAGAGATTGGGAGAGGATAGGATAGGGTAGGATAGGGTAGGATAGGATAGGATAGGATAGGATAGGATAGGATAGGATAGGATAGGGGAGGGGAGCCGAGGGGAGGGGAGGTTAGGGAGCAGCTCAGCTCTGCTTCCTTGAATGCATGGGAGGCTTTGGCAATGATCCCGGAGCTTTTCTGGGAATAGGAGTTGTTTATGGGAAGCACACAGCTGTCTCACTAGCACTGCCAACCTTCCCGTTCTACCAGTACCCCTCTGCTCCTGGAGGGACCATGACCCCTCAGGCAAGAGAAAGGAGGAATGGTAGAAACCTGTCAGGAGAGGGAAGGCAGTCGGAGAATGGCACATTCTGCAGGGAACGGGTGTTTCTCATCAGGAGCAAATTAGGAGTCCCTTACAAAATGTTTTATTAGGAACTTTTCAGGTACATCCTCTCTATCAAAAAAAACCCCAAGATAAAAAACTGTGAGGAAGCAAAATTCTGATGTAGACAAAGATGCAATTTCCAACTCTCACATGACTCCACCAAGGCTTGGGGAGCAACCCTAGTGTAATAGATGTTAAAAATAATTCATGCTATTAAAGAATGTATTTTATAAAGATTGTGAAATCT